TATATAGCACCATAGCACAACCACATGGGTTGCCCTGCCCTGACAAATAAACTAAGGCTCCACCCGTACTACATAACAGGTGTGCTGGTACAAAAAAATATGGCCTAAAGAAAGAACAGATCAAAGCTCAAGAAAAAATACAACTAAGTGATGGATAGGCAACCTATCAGATGCAGAGTTCAAACACTAGTAATAAGGATGCTCACAGAATTGGTTGAGTATGGTCTCAAAATAGAGAAAAAAGTGAAGGCTCTGAAAAGTGAAATAAAGGAAAATGTACATGGAAACAACAATAACAGGAAGGAAACTGGGATTCAAATCAACGGTTTGGACCAGAAGGAAGAAATAAACATTCAACCAGAACAGAATGAAAAAACAAGAATTAAAAAAAATGAGGGGAAGCTTAGGAACCTCTGGGACAACTTTAAATGTTCCAACATCCAAATCATAGTGATGCCAGAAGGAGAAGAGGAAGAGCAAGAGATTGAAAACTTATTTGAACAAATAATGAAGAACTTCCCCAATTTGGCAAAGGAAATAGACTTCCAGGAAGTCCAGGAAGCTCAGAGTCCCAAACAAGTTGGACCCAAGGAAGCACACACCAAGGCACATCATAATTACATTACCCAAGATTAAAGATAAGGAGACAATCTTAAAAGCAACAAGAGGAAAGGACACAGTTACCCACGAAGGAGTTTCCATAAGACTATCAGCTCATTTCTAAAAAGAAACCTCACAGGCAAGAAGGGGCTGGCAAGAAGTATTCCAAGTCATGAAAGGCAAGGACCTACATCCAAGACTGCTCTATCCAGTAAAGCTATCATTTAGCATGGAAGGGCAGATAAAGTGCTCCTCAGATAAGGTAAATTAAAGGAGTTGATTGTCACCAAGTCTTTATTATATGAAATGTTAAGGGACTTATCTAAGAAAAAAACATATGAACAGGAAAAAGACAAGAAACTCACAACTATCAACAACCTAACCTAAAAACAAAACCCAAACCAAAACCAAACTAAGCAAACAACTGGAACAGGAACAGAATCACAGAAATGGAAATCACATGGAAGGTCATGAGCAGGGAAGAGGATGGAGGGTATGGGGCAAAAAGTACAGAGAATAGGTAGCATAAATGGCAGGTAGAGAATAGATAGGGGGCGGTTAAGAATAGTACATGAAATGTAGAAGTCAAAGAGCTTATATATATATATATATGCCAAAGACATGAATGAAGGCGGTGTGGGGTGGGGAAATGTGGGTATGAGGGGGTATGTGGGGCAGAGGGGAATTAAGAGAGGAAAATGGGACAACTGTAATAGCATACTCAATAAAATATATTTAAAAAATTAGTCCTAGAACAGGCAAAATTAATCTATAGTGATAGAATTCAGTAGCTGCCTGGGAAGGGGCAGAAAGGTAACTTTCTGGACAAGATGGAAATGTTAATTTGGTGGTAGTTACTCAGTGTATGAATTTGCCAAAAGTCATCCACCTATACATGTAAAATGTGTGACTTTCACTGAACTCATCATGAAAAGCTATCACATGTTGTCAGAGAAAAATGTTATTTCAGATACTTAAACATGTTTACATGACATCATATGATTACATCTCTGAGAGCATGTGTATGACTCACTGCCTCATTCATGCATAAGATACCTCGTGCCAGCAATAAGTCAGTATCTTATTTGTATACTAGCTAGGCTTCTGCTTTATATAAGAAATAAGGCTGGTCTCAGGCCCTTGTGCAGAGTGCTGGGAAGAGAATGGCTCTAATGGCCCCATTTTCAGGAAACAGTTTTTAGGAAATTCCTGCATACTGCCTCTGTCCTCATTCATCGGATTCCATTTGATGGTCGAACCACTCTCTCTCTCTCTCTCTCTCTCTCTCTCTCTCTCTCCATCTCTCTCTGCCTCTCCCTTCCTCTCCCCCCCATTAAAAAGGGAATGACCTGTAAGCACAAGTCCCACAGGCTCTGTGACCCTGAGACCCCTCAGAAATCACCACAGGGCCTGCAGGTCATACCTCAAGAGACGGTTGCTCAAACTTGTCAATAGCACCTCTGCCTCCTGGAGTCCCCAAAGGTCAAGAGAAAACCATGCAGGGACTGAAGATGTGATCTCAGAACATGTAGGATTGGAGGGTAGAAGCCTGTGCCTTCTGGAAGGCCTCCAACATTAACTGGCCTCTCGGCTGGTGGGGCTGGAGTCCCAGTCCCTGCTCTGTCAGGTGACTCATAGGCTCACCTTAGGCAATCATGACCCCTTTTTGGATCCTCAGTTTACTTATCTGTAAAATGTTGGACTGAATGAGCAATTACCAATTATTATTACTTGGCTCAAGATTCCATTCTTCAAATGAAATTACTTGTAGAGGCCCAATTACGAAAAATGGAGGATAACTAATTGAGAATGGGGTTCAGGGGCCCCTGGCTCTGTTTCCCCCTTGTTGTACTTTGAGGACCCCTAAGGATCTTGTTTAAAAACTATACTAGGCTGGTTGAGCCTCCCAATCCATGCAGCTGAACTGCCTTCATGGAAAACCTCCATGACTCCAAATGACGCAATCCAGCCATGACCTCAGTGACTACATCAACCTGTGACCTCACAAAACCTGACAAACAACCCCATACTCCAAATGACCCAAGTTTAGCTACTGACCTTAGAATGACTAGGACATTTGACCAGACATAATCTGACTCAGAGAACTCCGATGTGAGGTAATTCTATTCACATTGTGAACAGAATGTGATTATTCCATTGTTTGGACTGTGCCATATCTGGATGTTTGAGGAAGCTCTGTCTTCCTCTTACCTCCCAATCTACTTTCCCTATGGGTTCAGAAACACCTACAAGTTAATTCCAAATTTAAATGGCACATCTAGGATAGTGAAGTCCATGCCTAACCTTGGATGATCTTAGATTCTTCTCCTCTAAAAGCCTAACACATGGGTCCTGGCTGGGTGGCTCATTTGGTTAGATTTATCCTGTATACTAGAAGGTTGTGGGTTTGATTTTCAATGGAGGCACGTACGGGAGGCCACTGATGTTTCTCTCACGTTGATGTTTCTCTCTCTCTCTCTTCCTTTCTCTAATAACCCATAAACACATCTGAGGAAAGGAGGGAGGGAGGAAGGAAACCTGACATGTGGAAATGTCATCATCCCTGTCACCCCAGAGTACTTACTAAAATGTGCCAGGCACAATGCCGTTTGTTTTTTTTTTTTTAAGTATATCATAGATTATGTTATTGAAGTCGTCCCAATTCCCCCCCTTTGCCCCCACTCTGCCCAGTACACCCCTTCCCTTCAGCAATTCCCTCCCTTTAGCTCATGTCCAGTTGAGCATATATTAAAAAAATGGAGTTCTTTGACTTCTCCATTTCCTATACTCTTCTTAACATCCCCCTATTTTGTACCTACCAATTATGCTTTTTAATCCCTGCACATTTTCCCCCATTCTTCCCCTTCCCCCTCCCAGCTGATAATCCTCAAAATGATCTCTGTACCTATGACTCTGTTCCTGTTCTGGTTGTTTGCTTAGTTTGTTTGCGTTTAAAATTCAGTTGATAGTTGTGAATTTGTTACCTAACGGTCATAGTTTTGATCTTCTTTTTTGTAAATAAGTCCCTTTAATATTTCACGTAATAATGTCTTCTTGATGATCAACTCCTTTAGCTTGACATCTGGGAAGCACTTTATCTGCTCTTCTATTCTAAATGATAGCTTCGCTGGATAGAGTCATCTAGGTTGCAGGTCCTTGATTTTCATCACTTTTCTTGCCAGTCCCTTCTTGCCTGCAAAGTTTCTTTTGAGAAATCAGCTGATAGTCTCATAGGTATTCCTTTAAAGGTAACGCTCTGCTTTTAAGATTTTGTCTTGAACCCCCAATATTTTAATTATAATGAGTCTCAGTGTGGTCCTCTTTTGGTCCAATTTGGAACTCTCTGTGCTTCCTGGATTTGTATGTCTATTTCCTTCACCAAATGAGGTAAGTTTTCTTTTATTATTTTTTCAAGTAAGTTTTCAATTTCTTGCTTTTTTTTCTCTTTCTGGCGTCTCTATGATTCTGATATTGACACATTTGGAGATGTCCCAGAGGCTTCTTATACTAGCCTTGTTTTTGTTTTTTCTTTCTGAATTCTTGTCTCTTCTGTTCTGGTTGATGCTTATTTTTTCCTTATGTTCTGAATCGTTGATTTGAATCCTGGCTTCATCCCCTTCACTGTTGGTTCCCTGTAGATTTTTCTTTATTTCACTTAGTGTAGCCTTCATTTCTTCCTTTAGGTTGTTGCTGTATTCATTGAGTTCTTTTCAGCATCCCGATCACTAGTGTTTTGAACTTTCCATCTGTTAGGTTGACTATCTCCATTTCATTTAGTTATTTTTCTGGAGTTTTGTTCTGTTCTTTCATCTGGGCCATATTTGTCTCCTCAGTTTGGCAGTCTCCCTGTGTTCGCTTCTGTATATTAGGTAGAGCTGCTTTGATTCCCTGTAAAAGGCACCTGCCTGGATGAATGTGGCTTCTTTAAATCCCTGGTTGTCAGACTTCCATAGAGTTTGATTTTCTGAACGTTCTGGGCATCATTTTGAAATTTAGGTATAATTTTTTGTGATTTCACAAGGGGGTGAAGCGTGTCTATCTATACCTCCATCTTAACTGTAAGTCCCCACCATGCTATGCTCTTCACATGCACATGCATCACATCTGACCCTCACCACCCTACAGGGTGGGCATTATGGTCACTCCATGGTACAGTTGAGGAAAACTGAGGCTCAGGGTCACTAAGAACAGAGCTGGGATGCAGGGTGAAACCAGTGCTCATGGAAAAGCTCTGGTCATTGATATAGTTTTCCTGACCCATTTCCTTAGACATAAAACTGGGCAGCTCATGATTAAATGATAGTCCATGGAATGCTAACATCGCACCAGACACAGGGTAACTCCATAAAGGTTGGGTTATAGATGCAGTTTCCTAAAACCACCAGACACCAGACAGATGGTCTTTGTAGAAAATAGGATTTATTTTCACATTTAAGGTGAACACAAATAAAATGTCCCTGAAGTATATTAATACACAATCAGTAGATTTAAATTATTAAATACAGAAAAATCAAAGCCCACCAAGAAATCCATGTTTGCTTTCTCCCAGAGCCCACGGCACTCACAGGCCCTTTCTGTTTTCCATGCAGGGATTCACCTTGAGCAGGCATGTCTCACAATGGCTTTGTTCCCAGGTTTATCTGCTTCTACCCCATAAACAGCAACAAACCAACGGGATTCACAGTGGCTGGGATAAACAGGCCTCAGCCATGAGACCCTTAACAAAAGCCCTGATTGTGTTCCAGAGGCCAAGCTCTGGAGTTCTGTGGCCTAGGCTACCAACTCAGGTCACAGCACAGAAGAGTTAGTGTCACAGCATTATCTCCAACCAGTCTTGTTAATTAAATTATTCCAATTAGGAAGACATCATTAAACAGCTATACAATAGCCCTTTTTGCAACAACTGGCTTTCCCCCTTGGTCAAGGAAAAGGCAGAAACCTGAACTTGAAGCTAACCCATCACCACCCCCGATACCCAAAGCACATATGAGCTTGGGCTGGACAATCACAGCTGATACCCGATGAGGAGTAGTGACAGGATGTCCACAGAGGGGATCCAGAAACAGGGTCATGAGGCAGGGTGGGCACTGAGTGGGTCCTGGGGAGGTCTGACGTTCTGTAGACACCTTCCTTGAGCACATGGCGATGTTAGAGCAAGCACAAGCATCTCTACGGGACACCTTCACTGGGAGGCCAAGGCAGTCATCTGGGTGACTCAACACACAGGTAGAGCTGCTGTGGGCCTAGCATCCTGGTTTAGCTCAACTGGCCGCAGTCTGTGATGACAATCTTCTTGGTCGTCTTCCCACTCTTGGAGCCAAAGGATTCTATTTTCTTCACAACATCCATGCCCTCTTTGACATGGCCAAACACAACATGTTTGCCATCCAACCTGTGAGGATAGGTGAGCCAGAAATGGCTCAGAAATGGGAGTTAATGCAATGTCAGAAATGGGAGTTAATGCAATGTCAACCAACACCATGGTCACTTCCTTGTGGAACTATCTACCAAAAACAGCAATTCTGAAAGGAATGCACACCAAAAAGCTGGATCTACTCCCCAAACCTGGTATCAAGCCTTGCTAAGCTCCCCAAAATATATGGGAGGAGGAGGGCTCCTTCCAGGGCATGTTCTGCCACTCTCATGCTGTGAGACCTTGCCTGGCTACCTCATCTATGAAAAGTGAGTTATTCTTGCTCTGCTCAGGGAGCTCTTGCTCTAAGGAAATTAAAGGCCTCTGTAAATGGAGCTATTTTAATAGTCATGAATCATGAGGTGAGAGCCAAGGTAACAAGTGTGATGAGACTGTAAGTCCTGAGCAGTTCTCAACTTGAGAGAGTTCCAAAAATCTAAAAGGCAACTTAGTCTAGTGTCAGCAAGGCCAAGACTGGTTACAGACAAGGATGGAACTGCAGGATCCATTAAGGCTTGGTTCCATGGAAGGAGCACAAAAGCAGGCAGAGCCAGCAACGACCTGCCCAGCCCCGACATCCACGTCCCTTCTGGCTTGGAGGCCATCGCCCAGACCTCCCTAAAGTCCTCAGAAAGGGGCTTTATTAAGTCTTAGTTCCTGGCCAGCTGTTGTCCCCTCAACCCCAGCTTCCCCAGGGCTGGGACACAAGGGACTCTGGGCAGAGAAACTTATCCCTGAGTGGAAAATTTACCAGGAAAGACATCCCTAAAAAACATGGGCATGTGGGAAAGAGGGCTGGCCTTTGCTAAGGCCTGATGAAAACTGTGGTGTGACATCCAAATGTCTATCACAGCATTTCCCAAGGTACACTCTGTGGTGGAGGTAAGCCTGGAAAACAACAGGTTAAGCCAGGCAAACAGGTTTCTATGACACGCCACCTCAAGGCCTGTACTCTTTGTACATGTGTGCAAAACACACTGAAAAAAATTCCAGCTGATAGTGACGATGGGAAGCCTAATTAAGACAGAGCTGCCAGAACAGCCCCCATTCTCCCTTGATCCTCTCAGGAACTTTCTCTCTCATACAGATACACAATCCTGGTGAGGGCTACTGTCCCAGAGCAGACCTTCTTCAGAAAACACACAAACCCTCCTTCTGCTGTGACGCTGCCCCACATTCTCAGAGGGACTGGAGCCAGGAGCACAGAACTCACCAGTCAGTCTTTATGGTGCAAATGAAGAACTGGGAGCCATTGGTGTTGGGGCCTGCATTTGCCATGGACAGGACACCTACAAAAACAAGCAGGGGTGAGCCACACTGCCCACAGAGGCATCTCATCTGGGAAGTCACTCAAAAGAGCAGATGGCTCAAGCCACATCAAGAACATGTGAGTCTGAAGAGCCTGGAGCTCAGAAGAGGAAGCCAGGGCCCAGGGGATAAGCACCTCCAGAGGAAGGAAAGGGCCTTGCAGAAGCACTCATGGTAGAGCCAAAGCAGAAGCCCTGCCCCTGACTCTACACTTTTCTACATTGTATGCTGGGTCCCAAAGGTGACACAACACTGGAGTCTGGCTTAAAGGCTCTCCCCCTTGTCAAGTTTCCAAATCACAGTTTATTTTTAAACTGAGAGCTCAGAATGGAAAAGCTCTTGCAAAACCCAACAAACCACCCAAAGCACTGAAGGAAGGCAGGGTCACAATCAGATACTGAACAATCAGTGATCAGATTTTGGCCCCTCAGGCCCACTGGGAAGGGCAGGGGCTGGGTCAAAGCTTGGGGCACTTAGACCAGGAAATGGCAACGCCCCACTCACCTGGCCCCACGTGCTTCAGTGTGAAGTTCTCATCAGGAAAGCGGCTTCCATAGATAGACTTTCCCCCGGTGCCATTGTGGTTGGTGAAGTCTCCAGCCTGTGAGTACAGAGCACCTTCTGAGTGGCTGTCACCTAGAGCTGGCAGGGGACATTGCTGCGGCACTGGGAAGCCCCTAACCCTCTTAAGGCCCACCCCACCAGAAGCTCTTCAGGCAAAGGAGTCAAAAAGCATCGAATTATATAAGGAATAATAAAATATTAAGGAAAATAAGCAAAACTAAAATAAACTTAAATATTTTCTAGTATAACTCTGTTTCCAAATGATTCACTTTTTGTCTGAGCAAGTTTTTAAATGATCCTCAAAGGAACTGATGACCAACAATATGATTCTTAGGGACCCATAATTAATTTCCTACTCACAGCTTTTGGAGAATAAACAGGGAGGCATCCAGGAGCCCCCGATCCCACATCTGGTCTGTGGGGAGCAGCACAGTTGGCACAGAGCCAATTCCCTAAGCTCAGTCCTGTTCTTGTCCAGTATCGTCCACTGACCATGCCCAGTGGTGTCCCTCTGCCTTACAGACCCAGTACAGAGTCCACCCAGGGCTGACATCCTTCCTCAGGCCTCATCAGAGGCTTCCGTGGCCAGAAGAGACCAATGGCTGCCACCCCAGCCCCAGGCCACGGTACCATTTTCCTGAGATGGGACCCTCTCAGGTCCTAGGGATGACCTATCAGCCAGCTGGAGCATTCACAAATGCCAGTGAGGTGTCCCCAAAGAGGGCCAATTCAAGACCCCGGCCTGGCCCCCGGTGCTGCCAGCTTATGCCTCAACAAGCCCCGCAACTTTGGAAGTCTCCACCCTTGCCTGTTGCTGTTCAGAGGAAGACAATAGCCTGGCTCAGGACACCCACTTCAGCTCCCGGGAGATACAGGGCTTGGCTAAGCCTGTCCCGTGCTACAATCTCCCTGCCCCTCCTATGGCATTTGTCACATCAGCAAGCCTAGCCCCAAACCAATAACACCACCATATGATTATAGCTACCAGGGCAGGGTAGAGGGAATGGGGAGAGAATTCAAGGCTGAAAGGACTTCAGAAAGGTCATGATATCCATGCCCTTGCCACAGGACACAAACTCCTGACCTAGCAGCGTTTGACCTAACAGAGGACAATCCCCAAGGAAGCATGGGTCCTGACCCCTGGGGAAGTTCTTGCTGCCAAAAGCTACCCTAAAACCTGACACAGCAATACTAATGTCTCTGACAAATGGGCTGGGCACATGACTAAGGAATATGTTCATTCAACCAAGAGATGCTTTCTCTGCAAAGAGAAACTCCAAGTACAGACCTATATGTTCTCATCTGTGCCCTCTCTCCCTCCTCTTCCTCTTCTCCCATGCCATGTGCTCAGTGTGATACACAGGAGGCAGAGACTGTCTGAATACACTAGTCCTCTAAAGCCTTAAGATCTATCTTCCATGCACAACCACACTGAATGCCAATGCCAACACCCCCTTCACAGGCTCAGCTTTCCCAACTCAGCTGGGCAGGGCCATCCTGCCACTTGCCCTGTTGCTTAACTTCAGGGGCAGGGGAGGGCGAAAGGAGCACAGACAAGTTCCAGCCTCTGAGGGTGAGAGGATAGGCCAAGAGTCATTACAGTTGCCCTCCATTCAGTACTCTGCAAGCATTAAGTACATGCTTGCTCACTAGTCCTCATAGCACTCCTGTGAATGGCCCCATTCTTATCCCCACTTACAGAAAAGGAACCTGAGCAGAGGGTCACAGTACCTGGCACATGAAGGACGGAATCACTCTGTGAAACGTGGAGCCTTTGTAGCCAAAGCCCTTCTCCCCAGTACACAAGGCTCGGAAGTTCTCTGAGGAAGGAAAGGAGAGGCAGGTCAACAGGGTTAGGCCGCAACTCATGTGACACCTTGGGCGTGACACCTTGTTCCAGCCAGCATCCCCTCTAATCCCCCAGGTGAGCAGGGCACAGAAGGCTCTAGGCCCACCCCAAGTCTGCTCTGGCTGTGTGACCTGGGACTAGTCACTGACCTCAGTGGCAGAGCACACAATCCTGTTTCAGGACCAGGTCAGCTGGGCAGGGAGTCCAAGGGTTGTGGCCCACCACCCTGCCACAATGGGCACCAGGAGGAAGGAAGCTGTCCAGGGGAAATTTACATATGCCTTCTACTGATACTGAGACTACTACCAGACAGGTGGGCAAGGCCCACACTGAGGCCCAGAGAGGAACAGAAGGCTGCCCCAGTGCACGCAGTGGCTGAGCCACACATGGTACTCCCATCTGGTCCTCTATTCCCTTGCCCCAATTCCTCTTGCCAGTGCAACCACCTCACCGTGCCCCTCTCTTCCTTCTACCTAGACCAGACTCAGGGCCCCAGGCACTATCTTACCTGCTGTCTTTGGGACAACATCTGCCTTCAGCTGTAGGGAAAGAAGAGGGACAAGGGAAGATGGTCAGTCAAAAGGCAGGTGAAGGAAGGAAGCTCCAGAGTGGCCAAGGAGACTGAGACAGCACCATGTGCCATTCCATTCCTGTTACTCCCAGTCTAAGCAGCTATCATTCTTGCCAGTTGCTTCCTGAATCCAAGGCTGGGAGGAGGCAGGCTTGGTTTCCTAATGTGTGAGGAAAGATCACAATACCATCTGGGCCTGCTTCCCTGCGGGGGAACTGGCAAAGCTACTACATCTGGCCCAAGCACAGGCTCAGGGCCTGGAGAGAGGGTCCAGGGAGGAGTCACTCCAAGATCTTCATTGAGAAGATGGGCAACTGAGGCTGAGAGAGAGGCAAGAAGGGTGGAGGTAAGGAGAGGCTGGAGCCCCATCCAAATTGACCTCTTGCCTCCCATCTTCAAAAGCCACCCTGGCTCCAAACCACTGACATAAATGGGAGCAGGAATGGTTATCTTTATGTTCCAGAAGAGGAAACCGAGGTTTAACTGATGGCCCTTAGTTAAAAATAGGGCCAAGCTTGAAGGCTACATCGACTTTCAGTTACCTTCCCGCTCTGTTACCTTAAGGCCTCTTTGCTTTGTTTTAAAATGGCCCAGGAGTCAGGAGCAGGAAGTGAGTGTCGAACCCGGAAAGGTGGCCGGAGTTGGAATAGGGCTCCTGGCACACTGCCCAGACTCACCATCCCGGGGTCCTACTGGTGGCTGGAGGCCGCTACTGCGCGAGAGGTGGCTTACTCTAGCCATCCTCCCTCGTTCCCCAGAGCCCAGCGAGTGGGCGAGAAGGCAGGGACGCGCGGGACTGGAGCCGCGTTGGGGAGGGGGACGGCGCGCTACTCTAGCCGTACGCAAAGAACGTCACGTGAGCGCCCAGCCAAGCCGCTGCCGAGACACAGACGCCTGACACCCACATCGGAGCCGGGGTCTAGGTTACGATTCCGAAAGAACTTGGAACCGCTCCCGGGCCCTCACCTTCTACGACCTGACCTTCACCTTTCTTGTCCATACGTACCCTCCTCCCTCCACCTCCATTCTCCAAAGTTCCGAGAGGAGATTGAAGGAAACCAATCCGTTGCCCCGTCTTACAGATGGGGAAACTGAGGCCGAGTCCCGGAGTGGGAGGCAAGGTCACCCAGAGAGCCAGGCACAGCGCCGCACCGGGGTCCCGGGTTCTCCCGATTACGTTTCCCAAGCTTGGCCCAGTGCAGTCCAGTCCAGTGGTCTCACCTCCAGCACCACCCGGCCGAGAGGCTGCCCGTCGGCGCCGACGTCCAGGTACACTAGCGGGTTCTGGGCGGAAGAGGACGGGTTGCGGGCGCCGCCGCTACAGGGGCGGGCAGCGGGTCGCAGCGGCAAGGAGCGCGGGGCAGGGAGCAAGCCAAGCAAACGGGAGCCGCAGCGCACTGCCAGCATGGTGTGCGGGTCGGGTCGGGTCGAGGAAGGAGGCAAGATCGGCTGTGCTGGCGAAAAAGACGGCAGCAAAGGTCACGCGCCTACAAAGTCTGGTCCGCGGCGCCGGCGCGCCGGCGTCTTTATTGGTCCGTCAGGCCTCGTGGCCCCGCCCCGCCCCGCCCCCTCCAGGGCTGTCAGTGGGCGACCCCTACCGGCCTCGGTGGGCAACGCAGCCGGACTGGCGGAGCGGCAGGGCGTGAATTATTTGGGACTTCGCCAGAGCCAGAATTTTGAGGGACAGACACGACCTCGCAAAAGGAGACCAGTTCCATTTTGTGAGGGCCCTGCAGACAGACAGAGACCAGGAGAAATGGTGGCACTGAGAGTCAGTCAAAGAAAGGTGGAGAGGAGAGGCTGGATTAGAGTGAGTGATGATGGGCAGAGACAGGCAGAGTCACCACCCATGGTGACCACAGGCTTGTCCTGTCCACAGATGCTTCTAGAGCTCAGGTCTCCTTCCCACAAGACTGGATGTTGGGAACCGCCCTGACTGGTATTAGAAGCTGAGACCCCCGCCTAGCTAGGCTAAGGGAACGCCCTTGAAACCGTGAGCCGGCAAGGAGACAAAAGCTTATCTTCCTGGCAGGAATGCTGTTTCTGCTGCTTTGTTCATAACTGAACCCCCAAAAAGCTTGGTCGGTTAGCCAAAGACGGGTAAGATTCCCCACGGGGGAACAACCCAGGCCAGGCACGATCACTTTTGGGAGGCCCCCCAAAAGAAGGACTTGGGGGGCTGCAGCAAAAGGGGGTGATGGACCCTCACTCCTCGGCTTTGACAAAGTCTGAGTTCTCAGCGTCCAGAAGAAAATCTCCTTATCTCTCGGTGGCCTTAGTTCCCGCGCTCCACCTAAGCCTGAAACAATGACGGGGAAGTACAGCTCGGTACTGGGAAGTGCGGATTTCCCGGGGTGATCAGGCCTAAGAAAGAACATGTAAATTACTGTGAAACCTTCTTTGTTTAAGAACGCTCTCAGTTGAATGAGGAGGGTCTTAGGAGGAAGCTAGTTTGTTCCTCAGCCTTACAGCTCTTTGACCCCCCAACTCAATAGACCGGCAGAGTTCTTTGTTTCCTATATTCCTTACTTCCCCTAATGAGTATTGTACGTTACCTGAGTTATTATGCAAAATGAGCCTAATAAAAGCAGGTATGGACGGTGGATCAGCGCGCTCCCCACTAGGGGGGTGGCCATTCTGTCCCTACTTCCCCACAGAAACTGGTTTGTCTCTGTGCATGTGTGTTTTTTCTCGCGTATTGTCGAGCCATCCACAGTGTGCCGTGGTCACTGCTGGCCGGTGACCCACGCGCAACAGCTGGCGCCCAAAGCGTGGGGCAGAGATTCGGGACCACAGAGGTGGGACCCCGTTCGAGACCACTTGGAACCAGCGGCTACGAGCCGTCGCTGTGGACAACGCATCAACTTCGGGTGGATTTGCGCGCTAACAGCCCAGGTAAGGGCCAACGACCCCGAACTCTTTCTCGGGCTTGTCGTGGGATGCGTTGAATTTTCAGGGAAGTAGGTCTTTCTTTTCTAGGTCGTTTCTCTCTTCGAGACCGCCTATAATTGGGTAAATAGTAATTTAATTCTCAAGTTTGGGGAAAAAAAAAGATTTGCCTTGAAAAAAGTAATCAGGTGATTTGTTTTGGCCAATTAAAAGTAAATAAAAGTAAGCTTTTTTCTTTAAAAAAAAAGAAGGAAGGTAAACATGGGTTGTAACTTAACTAAAGGGCAGAAATCTTTTCTGCGTATATTACAACAAGTTCTTAAAGAAGCAAAGTATAAGGTGAAGGAAAAGCATCTGGTTCAGCTTTTTGCAATCTATAAGAAAATATTGTCCTTCATTTCCTGATAGAGGGACGTTAGACATTGATGTTTGGGAAAAAGTGGGTGAAAGGTTGAATTCTTTGCAAAACAGTGGTATATCTATTGGTGTACACACCTTTGTAACCTGGAGGCTTGTCAGGGACTCTCTTGAGTTCATTTGGACAAAGAAAACAGAGCTAGATGATGATGAATATGATTCTGACAGTGAAACGGTGTGCAAATTGAGTGAGCAGATCACGGAAGCCCCACCTTCACCCCCACAGAGAAGGATGGATTTTGCTCTGTATCTGCTCTGAAAAAGAAAAATTGAGGATTCCAGGGAAGGTTGAAACTTCACACTCTAGGAATGTAAATGGGAAACTGTAAAGATAAATGGAAAAGTAAAAGTTTTAAGAAAGAAGTTATGTGATGTTAGCTAATAATTGAAGGTATAAGGCATGGAAATGCAATCTTGGTGAATATCAGAAGGAGTATGAAAGAAAGATTAGAAGGTTTGTGAATGTTTCAGAAAGTCTGTGGAAGTAAACGTTTTAAGAAAGAATTATGTGGTGTGTGTTAGTAATTGAAGGTCTAAGGCATGAAGATGCAATCTTGGTGGATATCAGAAAGTGTATGAAAAAGAATAGAGAGTTTGTGAATGTTGCAGAAGGTCTGTGGAAGTGAAAGTTTTAAGAAGCCTGGTAGATAGCAGAAGGAAAAGGATTTTCCTTCACACTTTATATTTTTCTCCCTACCTGATCCCTCCAGAATTTGGCATTCTAAAGGAGTAAGTAATGACATAAGGTTTCTTTGCATAAATCTAACAAGATCAGTCGTTAATAGTGGTTATGATTTAATTGTGCCTTCCAACTCTTTCCAAATCTGTTATCTCCAGAATATGACCAAAAAATGAATGAATCCAAATGGCATTATAGCATTTAACAATGCACTGCTCTCCTTATGAGTCCGACAGTTTGTTAACACCTGGTTGCACTTATGGTTTAATCAATGCTACTTTAGAATTAGTCCAACAGGCTCAATAGATCAGGAGATCCTGACCCGCCTTTCTGCAGTTGAATCAGCACTGGACTGGATTGGCGAACGCCAGGGACGCTCTCGTGATTCGTCAACACCTAACCTGTGACCCTGGTTTCTCCAGACTGTGCGTCACACCGCTACAATGGAATTCCAGCCAACATACTTGGACTGATATACAACATCGCTTGAGGAGCTTTCTCCACTAACTTAAAAGGACAAATTGATAAATTGCAGTTGGAGTTACATCATCAGCTGCAGGACATTCAACGTTTAACCAAACAGGACATTTTTCGAGCCCTTAATGAAAATATTAATTGGCTGAATCCTAAAACATGGTTTGATGGAATTAATTTGAGAATTTGGGTTTTTTGGAGCTGCTGGTTGTTTACTGATTGTGATATTGATTTGTGTACTTCGGTGTATTTGCAAATTGTTTTCCCAGGGTCGTATCAGAGACCAGCAGGTAGCCACCTTTATGGAACCCTTAGCAGTCCTAACTGAAAACAAGGGAGAAGGTATGAGAAACCACTCTGGCAGGCGTAAAATTAAAACTCAACACCCACGTAAGAAAGTAGGTGATGAGTCGGTGCGCAGAACTGCACCTGTTAAGAAATCCTCTTGTAAAAAGTCAGGCTTGCATTATGCTCAAACTGCCTTGTAATTTGCCTTTCCTGATATCTGTGTAATTTCTATCAAAGATTGAAATGTAATCAGACCTATTACTTTTGTTTTTCCCTTAATATGTTTTCTTGCACTGAATTTAGAAATTTAGGTATTCACCACCCATAGAATTTAGTTTCTGCTTTATATTTCTATTATTGCCTTATGATGTATGTAGATGTTGCTTTTCTTCTGATTTGCATTTGAAAACAGCAAAAGTAGGTTTCACAGGCTTAACGACCACAATTGATTTTAAAACAACTAAAAAAGGGGGATATGTTGGGAACCGCCCTGACTGGTATTAGAAGCTGAGACCCCCGCCTAGCTAGGCTAAGGGAACGCCCTTGAAACCGTGAGCCGGCAAGGAGACAAAAGCTTATCTTCCTGGCAGGAATGCTGTTTCTGCTGCTTTGTTCATAACTGAACCCCCAAAAAGCTTGGTCGGTTAGCCAAAGACGGGTAAGATTCCCCACGGGGGGAACAACCCAGGCCAGGCACGATCACTTTGGGAGGCCCCCCAAAAGAAGGACTTGGGGGGCTGCAGCAAAAGGGGGTGATGGACCCTCACTCCTCGGCTTTGACAAAGTCTGAGTTCTCAGCGTCCAGAAGAAAATCTCCTTATCTCTCGGTGGCCTTAGTTCCCGCGCTCCACCTAAGCCTGAAACAATGACGGGGAAGTACAGCTCGGTACTGGGAAGTGCGGATTTCCCGGGGGTGATCAGGCCTAAGAAAGAACATGTAAATTACTGTGAAACCTTCTTTGTTTAAGAACGCTCTCAGTTGAATGAGGAGGGTCTTAGGAGGAAGCTAGTTTGTTCCTCAGCCTTACAGCTCTTTGACCCCCAACTCAATAGACCGGCAGAGTTCTTTGTTTCCTATATTCCTTACTTCCCCTAATGAGTATTGTACGTTACCTGAGTTATTATGCAAAATGAGCCTAATAAAAGCAGGTATGGACGGTGGATCAGCGCGCTCCCCACTAGGGGGGTGGCCATTCTGTCCCTACTTCCCCACAGAAACTGGTTTGTCTCTGTGCATGTGTGTTTTTTCTCGCGTATTGTCGAGCCATCCACAGTGTGCCGTGGTCACTGCTAGCCGGTGACCCACGCGCAACAACTGGAAACTTGCCTGGGCCTGTCGTGCTCCCACAGTTCCCCGGCACTTCACCAGGACTGGGTCTGATGCCCCTCCTCAACCCCACAGACTGGCAGCCCTGGTGCAACCAGGGCTACTGGTTCCCCTCCCACCACCGCTCACGCAGAAACAGACTTCCCATGGACTGCACAGAATCTGTAGGTGACACAGCACATGGAGCCAGTGCATGGGCAGTGCTTGGAAAGTGAAAAAGCAAGATGGGAAGAGAAAGGGAACTGAGTGGGAGAAGCTACAGGGTTGGGGGCCTACCCCACATGCTGAGGTGGACTTCACAGAAGCTTGAGAGGTATGGGAGGCCCACAGTAAGTGATTAACAGGCAGAGGTCCTAAAAGAGCATCTGGCCAACACCTGTACCCTCCAGTTGGGAAACTGAAGCCCAGAGAGAGGACAGCACTGCCCAGCACTAGAAGAA